AAACCCCGGGTGTGGCACACCCGGGGTTTGTTTGTGTCACACCCGGGGTTTGTTTGTGCCACACCCGGGGTTTGTGTCACACCCAGGGTTTGTTTGTGCCACACCCGGGGTTTGTGTGCCACACCCGGGGTTTGTTTGTGTCACACCCAGGGTTTGTGTCACACCCAGGGTTTGTTTGTGTCACACCCGGGGTTTGTGCCACACCCGGGGTTTGTTTGTGCCACACCCGGGGTTTGTTTGTGCCACACCTGGGGTTTGTTTGTCACACCCAGGGTTTGTGTCACACCCAGGGTTTGTTTGTGCCACACCCAGGGTTTGTTTGTGCCACACCCAGGGTTTGTGTCACACCCGGGGTTTGTTTGTGCCACACCCGGGGTTTGTTTGTGCCACACCCGGGGTTTGTTTGTGCCACACCCGGGGTTTGTTTGTGCCACACCCGGGGTTTGTGCGCTTGCTGCAGTCCCTGGCCAGGACAGGAGGTTCCCAGCCCCAGGAGAGCCTGTCCTGGTGCTCACAGCTCGGGGGCTGGGGTTGGGCTGGCTGGAGCCCACCCCTCTGGATGGCAGGCAGGGATTGCCAAGGAAGCAGGAGGACACCGGGCTGGGACAGGGCAGCCAGGGGCCACCTCACAGCCCCTTCAGAGACCTTGGCCAGATCTCCTCCATCTCCAGGGTGAGGATCCCCACACACAGAGGGCCTTGAGGAGCACGGGGTGGGGTCTGGGGTCCCTGCTGGCCTGTCCCCAGGTGTGAGAGCCAGTGCTGTCTGTGCCCCAGGTGTGTGCCGGAACCTCAAGTCCATCGTGGTGCAGGTGGGGATTGTGGATTACTTCAAGGAGCCCCACAGCCCTGAAGCCAGGAAGATGTTTGAGGAAATGGTGAACAAACTCCAGGTAAAGGACCCCAGCCCCAGCTAACACCGGTGTCACCAGCCCTGGCTCCTTCCCATGGCAGGGATCGGAAATGTTCCCCCTCTCCCTCCCTTTCCTCTTTCCTTCCTGTGCCAGGGATTTGAGATGATGTTCCCCCTCTCCCTTCCTCACCCCGTGTCTTCCCTGAGGCAGGAACTGGAGATATCCCTGCTCCTCCTTCCCTTGCCCTGTGCCCTTCCCATGGCAGGGGTTTGAGCTGTCCCCTTCCCTCCCTGTCCCTGTGCCCTTCCCATGGCAGGGATTTGAGCTGTCCCCTTCCCTCCCTTGCCCTGTGCCCTTCCCATGGCAGGGGTTTGAGCTGTCCCCTTCCCTCCCTGTCCCTGTGCCCTTCCCATGCAGGGGTTTGAGCTGTCCCCTTCCCTCCCTGTCCCCACGGAGCAGGGCACTGCTGGCTGCCCCCAGCCCCACTGTCTGCTCCTCTTCCAGGCCCTGAGGAAAAGACCCGGCTTCTCCAAGATTTTACACATCAAGGTGGAAGGAGGCTGTTAGCCCTTCAGGGAACCCAAAGCACATTCCCTGCTCTGCCTGGCGGAGCCCCTGAGCCCCAGCCCAGCGTGGGCCGGAGCAGGGTCCCCCCGGCTCGTGCACAAGGAACCCCAAACTCTCGCAGGCCCCCGGGGCCGCTCGCGGGCGAGAAGGTGCTACTCAAGGACATTTCTTGGCTGCCCCAAGAGCTGGGGCCGTGCTCTTTCCTGGGGGGAAGATGGCTTTGAACCCCTGCTCTGCTCCTCTCCAAGGATCCGTGCTCGGGGATGGCTGTTCCGTCAAACTCTGGTTTGGGCTCTTTGCCCGTCTGAGGATGGTTCTGGGGCTGAGCCTGGGCTGCCCCTGGGCTCAGAGGGGCGATGGAGGGGGGTGGAAGGGGCTGTTCCTGCCCAGGGCCCAGCACACAGCAGGGTTCCCCCTCGTTTTCCTTTGGGTTTGACAGAGGGGCCCCCAAAGCTGGGGAAACGCTCCCAGAAACCAGCACAAAGAGCAGAGCTGCACCTCGGGGGCTTGGGGAGCCACAGGACACCAGGAGACATGGGAGCTCTTCCAGAGGTCTCCAGCCTCACTTCTTCTCCACCAAAACCCTCCTGCCAAGGCAATAAACCATCTCCAGAATCCTCATCCAGCAGGAAACACGGCTCACAGGTCACACACCATCCCCAGCCAGTCTCCATCCGGGCTCCGCTGTCCCACGTGGAGAGAGGGACAGTCACGGGACACCCACGTTTGCCATCCCATGGCCTTCCCGAGCAGCCTGAAGGAGAAACCCTGGCCAGATCATCCTGGAATTGTCCTGGGAAAAGCACCAACCAACAGCCCTGGCTGACCTTTATCTACAGCCACCGTTTTTGAAATCTGATTTTAATTCTGAGTGTCCTCTGCCTGCAAGGACATCATCATCCCCCGGATATCCTTTATCCATAGGAAAAGGCTTTGGAGAGGCATCCAGCAGGGTGAGGATCCGGACCCTGAAGGTACCAGGAGGTGCTGCTGGGATTGGGGACAGCCAGCAGTGAGGACACCCCGGCGACTGGGAAAATGGATTTGGGGCTTTTCCCTCTCCTCTGGACCAGCGCTGGAGGTTTTGGTGCCTGCTGGCCAGCCTGGCTGTGAGGGGACACCTCCCAGAGCATCCCCCCAGGAGGGACCGGGCTGCAGAGCCAGCTCCACACCCCTCACCCATGGCACAAGAGCTGCTGCCCTCGGCTGGGGCTGCCAGCCAGCCCGTGGGGATCCCCAGAGGAAGGAAAATCACCCCCAAACCGCTGAGGCTGCTCGTGGTTCTCCAACCCCACCTGGAGACCCTTCAGCCACCCTTCAGCCCAGCTGTGCTGTCTGCTCCGACACAGGGTCAGGGTTTTGTGGCCGTGGGAAGCACCTGGATGCAGCTTTCCAGGAGAAGGCTGTCCCTGAACGCACAAAGTGGGGCAGCCCCGACTGCTGCACCCCAGCAGGTCCCCAGGGCTGAGCTCCCCGCACCGGGACCAGCTCCCTGCCACGCCTGCCGTGGCTTTACCTCCACCCCGGGGAGCTGGGACACTCCTGATCCAGGGCCAGGAGGAGCAAGGGATGTCCCAACCAGCAAAAAACCACCCAGCAAAGCTCCAACCCCCGGGGAGCCTCCAGCCCTGGCCAGGAGCACGGCCCAGCTGAGATGTCACCACCACCCTGCAGGGACCTGTGAAATTCCCTTCAAAACTAAACAAAGTACGTATTTATTTCTATAAAGAGAAGAGGAAAAAAAAAAAAAAAAATTTTAAAGGAAAATGATATACTCAGCATGTTTATACACTCTATGCTTAAAGACTCTGGTGGCCCAGCCCTGGGCCAAGCCTGGATGCTCCGGTGCCTGGCCCCTCTCCTGGGGAAGGTGAGGATGAGGTGATGGAAGGAGGGAGGTGCTGAGGACCCTCAGAGGAGATTTCTGTGCCAGTGGGGTCAGTGCTGTGCGTGTGGAGCGTGGGTGACTCTGTGACATCCCCATCCCTCGGCTGCCACCAGGGCTTTGGATCCTCAGCAGGATCCTCACCTGGATTGGGTGCTTTGGTGCATCCCCAAGAGCAGATCAAACCATCACCTCTCCTTGGGGTGTTCCCAAAACATCCAGCTCAGCAAAGCCCCCTTTTTACAAAACTCTGATGCCACGAGGCCTTGAGCAGGTTCAAGGAGTAGAAGATGGAACGTGGAGGTTTCTCTGTTTTGCTTGGGCTGGAGTGGATCCCTTCCTCATCCTCCTCCTCCTCAGCTGGGGATGAAGGCACAGTGACAGGAGTGATGGGAATGAGGGTCCTCCTGGTGGCTCCTAATTGCCCAGCTTGCTAACGAGCTCATTAGCGGCTCTGAGATGTCAGATGGATCCTGCCCCTGCTGCTTGTCCTGCCCCGTGTGAGGCTCCAGCCACGGATTCTCCCCTCAGCCTCGGAGCCTCGGCCCTCTGGAAGGGATGGAAACAGCCAGAAAATCCAGATTTCCTGGGAAAGCCTTCAAATCTCACAGCAGCACGTTCAGCTCAGCTCTCCTGGGACGTGCCAGAGGAGCTCTGCGATGACAATCCCCGCTGAAATCCACGGATTCACAGGGTTGGGGTCAGAGCTGCCAGGGCTGCGTGCACAGTGCTTCCGAGCCTGGCTCCTGCAGGGCCGCTTTTGGGGAGATTTATTCCTTTTCTAATGTGTTTTCCTGAAGTTTCCCCATGGCTGATGTTCCCAGCATTCCCCTGAGTTTGGGTACTGGTCAGGGATTTCAAGAGGAACAACATCACCAAAGCCAGCTCGGGGTCCAAAGCTATCCCAAATCCGTGTTTTTGTGTCTCCCTCCTGTTGGATTTCACTCTTGCCCATCATTCCAAGCCCCAGGAATGCTCTGGGGATCAGCTGCCTCCTCCTGCCTTATCCCTGAGCTCTGGGGCTCCGGGGTGTCGGGGACTGGGGGAGACGGGAGCCCCCAGGCTGGCTCTGCCCAGCGAGGTTTGAAACCTTTGTCCCTCTTCTTGCAGCGTGTCCTGGTCCCTGCTGCCACCAAGGGCATGGCAGGGGCTTGTCTGGATCCTCCAAAGGAGCCTGGATTTAGGGAAAACAGAACCAAAAAACCCCAGGAGAAGTGTTGGCTCCCAAAGTGGTTAACAGATGTTATTTTCAGCTCTTAGGGGAGGCCCCAGCCCAGGAGCTGGAGCATCGCTTCAGCCTCGTTTAGGGGTGGGAAGCAGCAGGGTGGGGTGGAGCAAAAACATCCAGGAATTGGTGCCAAATGAGAAAGTGCTTTAAAAGGGAAAAAAAATGCCAGGGAGCAGGGGGATTTTGGGAAGCTGAGATGGTTTGTTGTGAGCCAAGCATTGCAGGGTGTTGAGGTGGTGATGGACCTCCCCCATCAGCGGGAGGCAAAATCATCCCTGGGGAGGGTGGGAGAGCGCTGGGGAAAAGCTGCTGCAGCAGCGAGGAGGGAAAACTGCCCAAAAGCAAGGGAAAAAAAAGGGGTTTTCTAATGCAGCCTCGGGATGGAGCCCCTGGAGGGGAGCGAGGCAGCGTGGGGCCGGGGACAAGTGGGTGCAATGGTGTGGGGCAGTTTTTGGGAAGGGAAGGGGTGATGCACACTTTGCTTTGAGATAATCAGAGGAGATAATCAGTGCAGAGAATAGAGATATATAAATCCAGGAGCTGGAATCATTCCCTACAGCCCCCAGGGGCCCTGAACAGCGACCTCCCCTCCCCAGAGGTGCCCGTGGCCTCCCAAGTTATTTTTTTAACTCTATATAAATTTAGGTCTATTTTAGTCTTTCTGCAGCGATGTGCCAGTGTCTGGAGAACCAAACATCCCTTTTTTTGCCCCCATCCCCTGGTCCCTCGGTGCTGAAGCGGGCCCTTGGTGCGAGATCTGCCGGAGCCGTGTCCTGGGGAGCTCCGGGATGGGGCAGCAGCCGCGGCTGGCACGGGGGAGAGCCGGGGGTTTGGTGGGAGCAGGGCCCAGCTCCGGCCAGGAGTCCGTGTTTTTAGCACTTTGGTTGGAACTCTCACCTGTAGACGCACTTTGATGTTGTTGCTTTGAAACTTTGGCAAGTGTAAACAATGTGTATTTAAAGAATTACAGAGAAACGACCCCCAGCGAAGCGTGTAAAGAGCTATTTTATGACTCGGTGTTGAATAAAGACTCTGGAGATCGAGCTGGGTTTCCGCTCTGCCGGGGGTCACACTGGACCCACACCAGTGACACCAGTTTGGGGCCCCCTGGAAGCGTCCCCCTGCCTCCCCTGCAGGTCCCAGGGCTCTGCCACGGGGCACTGCACCAAGGGGGGCCCAGGGAACACAGGGGGGCCCAGGGAACACAGGGGGGCCCAGGGAACACAGGGGGACCCAGGGAACACAGGGGGGCCCAGGGAACACAGGGGGGCCCAGGGAACAAAGGGGGGCCCAGGGAACAAAGGGGGGCACCGAGGGTGGGCAGGCCCTGGCACAGGTGCCCAGAGGAGCTGTGGCTGCTCCTGGATCCCTGCAGTGTCCGAGGCCAGGCTGGATGGGGCTGGAGCAGCCTGGGATGGTGGGAGCTGTCCCTGGATGATCTTTATGGTCCCTTCTAACCCAAACCATCCCATGGTTCTGTATTTCCTCCACTGTCCTCATTTAACCCTTGTAACCCAGCAGATCCCAGTCCCCCCTGGTTCTCCCAGCACCCTTTTCCTGTCAGAGTCCCCCCAAATGCCTGGATCCATCCTCGGAGCTGTCACACGGCTGCTGCCCCGAGCCTCCTGCCATGAGGCACACAGGAAAATGAAAATGTCCCAGTGAGAGAAGGCAGGTAAAATGTCAGAGAACACCCCTGAGCTCCAAGCACACCCACACAGGTGCTCCATGCCAGCACTCCTGGCACGTGCCCAGCTGTCCTGCTCTCCAGCACAGCACCTGCTCTCAAACGGGGCAAAAAGCAGCAGGAAAGGTTCATTAGCTGCAGCCCTGAGCTGTCACCGTGCAGAACGGAGCAGAGAACCGAGGAGAGCCCGACCTGCCGAGCCCAGCGGGGTTTGTGGTGCTGCAGCCGGGCTTTACAGTGCCCAGCAGGAGAAACAGAGCAGCACAAACAGGGCCAGCTGTGCCCGGGCCACCTCCGGCTGTCCCTGTGCCACCTCCAGCTGTCCCTGTGCCACCTCTGGCTGTCCCTGTGCCACCTCCAGCCCCAGCTGTCCCTGTGCCACCTCCAGCTGTCCCCGTGCCACCTCCAGCTGTCCCTGTGCCACTCCAGCCCCAGCTGTCCCTGTGCCACCTCCAGCCAGGAACACTCCCGAGGGAGTGCCCAGCACAGCCCAGGGCCCAGATCTGCCTGTGGCTGCTAATTACTGCAGGCTTTAATTAATGAATGAATGACCCCCAGCAGCTGTGGGGCCAGGCCAGGGTCAGTGGCTGTGGGGCTGGGCCACTAATTACCACAGGCTTTAATTAATGAATGAATTACACTCAGTGGATGTGGGGCTGGGCCAGGGTCAGTGGCTGTGGGGCCCGGCCACTAATTACCACAGGCTTTAATTAATTAATGATTTATGCTCAGTGTATGTGGGGCTGGGCCAGGGTCAGTGGCTGTGGGGCTGGGCCATTAATTAATGAGGTTTAATGGCCATTAATTAACCAGGTTTAATTAATGACCAGGTGGCCTCAGTGGTTGTGGGCCTGGGCCGGGGTCAGTGGCTGTGGGCTGAGGGCAGTGACTGTGAGGCCGGGCCGTTAATTAACGAGGTTCAATGGCCGTTAATTAATGAGGTTTAATGAGCACACAGGTGGCCTCAGTGGTTGTGGGGCTGGGCCAGGGTCAGTGGCTGTGGGGCCAGGCCGGGGTCAGTGGCTGTGGGGCCAGGACGGGGTCAGTG